AATTTTTTTAATTTAATTTAGTTTGTTTTTCATTTCAATGAACATCTACAGAGATTTTGGAATTCCATTCATTCATTGTTGCACCCTTCTCCCCACACAAACCCCTCCCCCCCATTTGCTCCTCTCCTTGAAAAGCAAAAGAAAAACTCCCTCATGTTGATCTTTTATCCTGCCACTTTGTTGAATTGGTCAACTAAGTCTAGTAATTTTCTTGCCGAGTCTTTAGGGTTTTCTAAGTATACTATCTTATCATCTGCATATAGAGATAATTTTTCCTCCTCTTTGCCAGTTTGTATACCTTTTATTTTCTTCTCTTTTTTAATTGCTATTGCTAAGACTTCCAATACAATATTGAATAGGATAGGTAATAGAGGTATCCTTGCCTAGTTCCTCTTCTCAAAGGGAATGCCTTTAATCTCTTTCCATTGAGAACACTTTTGGCTCTTGGGTTTGTGTATATATATATTTTTTACTATGTTGAGGAAATTCCTCTTCAATTCTATTTTGTTGACTGTTTAAAGGAGAGGGGGTTGTATTTTGTCAAAGGCCTTTTCTGCATCAACTAATAGGATCAGAATGTTCTTGTTCTTTGCTTTGTTAATGTGATGAATTACATTGATTGTTTTTCTTATGTTGAACCATCCTTGCATATGTGTTACGAATCCCATTTTGTCATGGCGAATTATTTCTTTGATGTATCTTTGGATTCTATTGGCCAGGATTTTATTCAGGATTTTTGCATCTATGTTCATGAGAGATATTGACATATAGTTTTCTAATTTGGTGGTGTCTTTACCTGGCTTTGGTATCAAGAATATGTTTGCTTCATAGAATGAGTCTGGGGGAGTTCCATCTTTTTCTATTTTCTGAAATAGTTTATATAGAATTGGTGACAATTCTTCTCTGATTATTTGATAAAATTAAGTTGAAACCCCATCTGTCCAGGGATTTTTTTTTACTTGAAGTTGTTTTATTACCTTTTCAATTTCTTTTGTAATCGGTCTATTCAGGTATTCAATTTCAGTTTGTGTCTGTTTAGGTAGGTTGTGAATTTCTAAGTGTTTTTCCGTTTCCTCTAGGTTTTCATATTTGTTTCAGTATAATTTTTCGTAATATTCCAATGTTAGTCTTTTTATTTTAGTTTAATTGGTTCTGTTGTGACATTGCCCATTTCATCTTTTATTTGGATTACTTGTGTATTTTCCTTTGTTGGTTTTGCTAGTGGTTTGTTGGTTTTATTCACCTTTTCAAAGAACCATCTCCTGGTTTTACTGATGGTTTCAATTGTTTTTCTGTTTTCTATTTCATTTATTTCTGCTTTAGTTTTTATAATTTCAGTTTTTTTAGAGGGTGTCAGGTTTTCTTGTTGCCCTTTTAAAATTTGTTGGAGATGTTGGGTTAGAGAGTCAATGGTCATTTTTTCCTGCCTTTTAATGGTTTTGCTTATTGCTATAAATTGACCTCTGATTACTGCTTTGGCTGTTTCCCAGGGGTTTTGGTAGGTGTCATTTTCATTGTCATTTGTTTCAAGAAATTTACTAATATCATTATTTATTTCTTCTAGTACCCACTCATGTTCAAGCAAGGTGTTGTTCAGCTTCCAAATGTATACTTTTTTTCTCCTTTATCCTCTTGTTACTAATTTCTAATTTTGTAGCATTGTGGTCTGAGAAGATGCTTTGTATTATTTCTATGTTGTTGTTTTTTTACATTTATCAATGCTTGCCTTGTGGCCTAAAATGTGATGTATTCTGGAGAATGTCCCATGCACATTGGAGAAGAAAGTGTACTATGTTTTGAGGGGTTGCATTATATGAGATCAAGTTGGTTTAATTCTTGAGCATCTTTGTTGAGTTTTTTTCTGGTAGTTCTATCTTTTCTTGAGAGGGTTATATTGAAGTCTCCTACTATAGTAGTGTTGTCTATTTCCTTTTTCAGTTTTGTTAATGTATGTTTTATATATTTTGCAGGTCTTTTATTTGGTGCATAGATATTCATTATTGTTATGTCCTCTTGTTCTATTGACCCTTTAAACATTATGTAGTAAACTTCCTTGCCTATTGTGATGGTTTTTGCATTGAAATTTATTTTATCAGAGATTAATATCACTACTCCTGCTCTTATCTGGTTGCCATTTACTTCATACAATTTTTCCCCCATCCTTTTCTTTTTAGTCTGTCTTTATCTTTGCTTTTTGGGTGTGTCTCTTGTAGACAGCATATTGATGGATTTTGGTTTTTTATCCAATCTGTTACTCTTCTCTTCAGTGGTGCATTCAAACCATTCACATTCAGTGTGATTATTGAAAGGCAGGGTTTTATTGCTATCATTGTACTGACTTATTTTTGGCATTGTTACTAGTTACTTTGGTCCATACTGCTTTCTGTGGTACCTCTATAAGAAGGACATCGCTCAGTGTTTCCTGCAATGCTGGTCTTGTTTTTATAAACTCCCTTAGGTTCTGTGTTTCTCAGAATATTTAGATTGCTCCTTCATATCTGATGGACAATTTTGCTGGGTACAGTATTTTTGGTTGACAGTTGTGTTCTTTGAGTGTTTGAAATATGTCATTCCACTGTCTTCTTGCTTGTGTGGTTTCTACTGAGAAATCGGCATTTAATCTTATTTGCTCTCCCTTATAGGTTACTATTTGTTTCTCCCTCGCTGCTTTCAGAATTCTCTCCTTATCTTTGGTTCTGGCAAATTTGACTATGATATGCTTTGTGTTTTTCTTTTGGAGTCTATTTTATTTGGTGTTCACTCAGCTTCTTTTTTTTAGAGTGTTTATAGTTGCTGGGATTTTTTATTTTTGTATGATACTGAAAATATACAAATATCATGCTGGGTATTATTGGCATCTTATCTTTCTCTAATTTTTTTTATGTATCGATGAGATTCTGGATTAGGAAAGATTTTAAATTTTATAACATTTTTGCATGATTTCAGGGAAAGTCAATTGATACAAATAATAAGTACATTTTAAATGCTGAACATTAAAAAACCTTAGCTAAGTGTCCAGGAAGGCTGACTGTAACCCAACCATGGAGGCTGGAATTCTGTCCAACTTGTAGCCTGGTTAAACAGTTTTTCTTTTTTTTTTTAAATTTTATTATTTTTGTGTGAGTGTACCATCAAATCAGATCTGACTGGTACAGGAGGAGATTGTCCCTCCTTTCCCGGCAGAGCATCTGGTGGATTCGAACCGTGAGCCTCTGGGATTGTAGTTGCAGCTCCTTGCCACTAGGCCACCAGAGCTCCCCTGGTTAAACAGTTTTTCAATACTCCTACAGAAGCTTTAGTAGACTCATTCACCAATCTAACAGGTTGGTAAATATGCATGACAAATGAGTTCCTGTTTCAAGTTCCACTTCCAAGGCAATATCACCAGGCACCCATTTTATTGAATGCAACAGTTGTTTCTATGACCATTGGAGTCTTTAAAGCGTAGTCGCATTTTAGGATGATACTTCTCCAAATACAAAAGCTGATTGCTGTTAAAAGCTCCACGCTGCTTTTGTCTTATGTATTGTACTGCATCTTCATATTTCATTCTACCCTCAAGTAATGCCAGGGCAACAAGCACTGGAGCTCTCCCAAGACCTGCAACACAATGAACAGCAATACAACAACTAGGTTCTTCACAAAACTTAATTTTTACTAGACTTAACCAGTCATCAACAATATGGTTGGGCGGTGGTGTACCATCATCAAAAGGCCAATCGAGAACATGGATGCCTTCTTTTTCCACAAGAGCAGTGTTGTAAGTTGCTTCACATACTCTTAGTATTGTGGTAACTCCATATTTCTTAAGTTCCTCTATAAATTTGTTTAAGGTTGCATTGGTTGGATTGTGTGGAATAAGAAATCTCATGTTCTCGTATGTGACTTCCACAGCAACTGGGCTGTTCATTCGAGCTATTGTTAATTAAGTTAAAAACACTGAAGAGAATTATAAAAGAATTTTTAGAAGTGAATATAGAAATTATGTAAAGAAATAGAAGTCTATGTCAAAACACTCCACTAGAAAATCTCAGTGCTTTGAGTATGATATTGTGAGTAATGGAAGATGAAAAGAACCTCCTAACAAAAAGCAGCAATTCTTCAATCCAGTAATACTGAGGCAATAGAAATGAAGTGCACTGAGGTTTACCCCATCCAGGTCAAAACTCTTGAAAATTGCTCTGTGGATTTTAATTCAACACTTCTTTTGTGTCCTGGTTAACTGCTCTTAAGGGGGCTTCTTGGTGGAGTAGTAATGAATTTCTACAGTTCACTTGTCTCCATAGAGGCTGTGCTGTGCCTGGCAATAATCTCCACTGCCCTTCAGAAACTCCATAAATGTGTGACCAAGAGCACCACAGAACTGAGGAATATGTTTACTCATTGACGATTGTGGCCTAATCATACAGCTGGTCCCGAGGCAGAGGTGATACAGGCGGCAGCAGTCGCAGTGGCTGCAGGGCAGGGGGTGGCGATGATCATCGCAGTGTGGCTGTGGTAGTGCAGGGGCACCACGTCCTACCATGCAGTCTCACTCAACTTCTTGAGTATATATTCTCTCATTCTTCCTCTAGTTTTCTTCTAGTAATTCTTCCACAACTTTTTCGTTGTCTTTAGTTGTTTCTTCCTGTTCTGGGATTCCTATGATGCGCATGTTGTTTTGCTTGATGGTGTCTCACATTATTCTTAGGTTTTCTTCCTTTTCCTTCCTATTTGATTCTCCTTTTTGCTCTAGCAGATCAGTGGTGGCAATTCTATCTTCTATCTCACTGGTTCTGTTTTCCATCTCTTCAACCCTGTTCATGTGACCCTCCATTATGTTGACAGCATCTGAAACATTGGTCCTCATATTTTGAATTATGGTTTCTTGTTTTTCCAGAACCCCTAATGCCTTTTTTGTTTTATCTGCATTGTTTTGTATTGGGTTTTTTTTAAAGCTCATCCTGGTTTTTACTTGTGGTGTCCTATAATTCTTCAAGTTTGTCTTTCACCACCTGAAAATATTCAATCATTGCTTTTTTAAATTCTATGTAAGAAAATTTCATCAGACATTCTGGCATCAGGAAATTCATTGTTACTGTGTCACTTTATTTGGGTGACATTTTGCTTTGGGCTTGTATAGCGGGTAAGGTAGCTTGCTTCCTACATGACATTGCTGTTAAGAGTTTTTCATGCCTAGGGTGATAGTAACCACTTCAGAAGATGGTGTGGCAGCTATCCTGTCTGGGTTTCTTTTAGTTCAATAGAGAAAAGGCCTGTGGAAGCAGCCTCCTCTGTCAGGAAGCAGCCTCTTCCTCCTAGGGTAGCTCAGGGTGCTCTGGGATAAAGGCACTTGATAGACTGGACATGAGGAAACACAAGGTGGAGCACAGAGACCTGACTGGAAAACCAGGAAACCTTGGTTTTCCCTTCAAGAATGAGCTCTAGCTATCTCACTCACTTCTGATTGGGCTTAAGGGGTTCCCGTAACCAGCCAAACAACAGTGAAACCCCCACAAAGTACATCGCTCAGGTTCCAGCATCACTCCTGGTGTGTGTTGGGAGCATAGTTCTGGATGTGGACCAACGGCATCAGGACAGGAGTTCTCAGCGAGTGCTGGCAATGATGGAACTAGAGTTCCGAGCTCACACTCACTCAGATTCTAGCTTTTCTGCTCACCCCTGTGCATTGTTTCCTGGTACATGCATCAGCAGCTCCCCCGGAAGCAAGGAAGCAGCTCTCAGGTGCATGCCTAGCATCATGAAGCAGCTCCCTGGCTTGGGCCTGTCGTCAGCAGACAGCTCCTTGGCATGTATAGACAGTTACTTTTATCTCACTCAAATTCCAGCTGTCTCAGTACCATGACTTGTTGTCAGGGCTGCTGGTCTGTCAGCTATAATAATTTTCTAGAATCAATCACTGTTGATCTATCCCCACCATTACCCCACCTTTCCAGGTCCCCGCTGGATCTTTCCTAATTCCTTTACCTCCTCCCTCTACCCAGCAAACTCCTGTGACCTCGTGATTTTCTCCCTGCCTACTCTTTGTTCCCTGGCTCCCTCCCCTTTTCCCTTGAATGTTCATTCCCATCTTACTAGTTATCTTTCTGTTCTTACAACAAAAACAACTCTTACATTTTCATTTCCACAAGGCTACCAGCTGCTCCATGGGAGAAAAATGGGCAATTTCTTCCTGTCCGATTAACTGCATCTGAAAACCTACTGGTCAGTTATGGGTGGGTTCTGACTTGACAGTAAACAACAACAATAACAATCTTGTTTAAGTTCAGACATTCATGTGCTCCTGCCAGGTAATCCTCCTATATCATACAGGACTATAGTCCTTGTCATATGCCAGGCTCCTGCTCAAAAATTTTAACAATTGCCTATACTCATACAATGGAATACTATTCAGCACTAAAGAACAACAGAGGGAGCTCTGATGGCCTCATGTCAAGAAGCTGTGCTGCTGAAGATACACAATTCAAGGCTACCAGCTGCACCACAGGACAAGTATGGGTAATCTCCTCTCATGTGATTAATTGCCTATGAAAACCTGCTGTTATGGGTAGGTTCTAACTTGGTGGTAAACAACAACAAAGAAAACAATAAAGCATGCATAAAATATGATACACCATGGGAGAGTCTAGTGGGCATTATATTGAATGAAACAACTCAGTCACAGAAGGACAAATATAGCATGAAACCTCTACTGTGAAAATAAGAGGTCAACTGAGGGGTTCGGGCAGGGAGAGAGAGAACAGTGATAGGATATTCAGACAGTGAACACTATCAAGAATAGGACAAGGGAGGATCAACCTGGGAAGAATTGAAGTAAGGATAATACGGCTATTTCAATTAGCAACTAGGAATAAAATATAATTGTTCAAAAGGGTCAGGGGAAAGAGTTCAAAAGTGGAAGAAGGGGAAGGAAAACACAAGGACAGCAGAGAGACTTGTGGGTGGATGGGAGGGTGTGGGAAATAGTAGAAAAGGTTCAATGGGGACTTTGTGGGACAAGGGGATATAAGGCATACAGCAATAGTAATTCTAGAAAACACAATGTACCTGAATGAAACACAATGTACCTTAAAGATTGTATGTGAACAAATTTTTTCATAATAGATACAATTGCCTTTTGCCTTGCAAGAGTTTTTATGTGATATCCAAGGTCTTTTAAAGGTCTATATTCAAGGTTTTTCAATGTTCTATTTTTACTGGCTCTTCTGTCTTATTTTCCACCACATCCTGTTTGTGCTGCATCAGATGCTACCAACCTTCCTTTGTCGAGAAGTGAGCTGCTATCCCAAAGACATAAGGTTCAAGTCTACCAGCTGCTCCACAATAGAAAGAAGGCAATCTTTTTTAAAAAAAATTATTTTATTACTTTTTTGTGCATGTACTGTCAAATCGGATCTGACAGGCACAGGAGGAGATTGTCCATCTTTCTCCAGCACAGCATCTAGTGGATTTGAACCACACATCTCTGGGATTGCAGTGCAGCTTCTTGCCACTAGACCATCAGAGTTCCAAAGGAAGGCAATCTTACTTACAGTACAATTTAATGCTTTTGAAAAACTGACTGGAAGGTGCTATGGATTGGTTCTGACTTGACAGCATACAACATGAAACAACAAAACCATAATCCCTTACCTGGAATATCCTCCATAAAAATCTCTACCTGTTAAAATGCCCTACTCCCTTCTAGGCCTAACATAAAATCTTTATCATAAAAGACTTAGGAAAACTTTAGCATTTTCATAGTCTATAACCTCTTTGGTTCTAATCCTTCAAAACATGTGTCATATTCACTTACACCCCAAAGCTGAGTATTTCTTTCCCTATAACATTATAATAAATAGTTTTGAAGATCAAATCTTGTTCAGTGTTTTTAATCTTCTACATCACCAGTATAACTTTTTTCTTTACTTTTATTTTTGCTAAAATAATATGTACACATAGTTGAAAGAGTCAAATGGTTCTACAAGTTAGTGAAGAGAATAGCTATCTTCCTCACTTCCTCTCTTAATTTGTGTTACTCACCTCTATTTAATGGAATAATATATTTGTTGTTATGCCATTGAGAGGCCTGCAACTCATAGCAGCCCTATTCAATAACTCTGAACTGTGCTCTGACACACACACCTACCTGCATTACCACAGTCACTGAGTTAATTCCTCCCATCCTGGGTCTTCCTCTCTTTCCCTGTCCCTCCACCCTTCAAAGCATGATGTCCTTCTCTAGGGACTGATCCCTCCTGGCCACATGCCCAAAATATATGAGTTGGAGTATCAGAATCCTTGCTGCCAAGAAGCAGTCTAGTTTCACCCTCTCTAGGATAGACTTGTTCATTCTCTTGGCAGTTCAGTAATCTTCTGCAGAGAGGGAGCTCTGGTGGCTTAGTGGCAAGAAGCTGCACTGCAATCCCAGCGGTATACCCTAGAATCCAGCAGATGCTCTGCTAGAGAAAGAGGGGCAATCTCCTCCTGTAACAGTCAGATCCAATTTCACACACACACACACACACACACACACACACACACACTAATGATTTTCTGCAGTACCACAACTCAAAGACATCAATTCTTCTGTCAACCCTAGTCATTATCCAGCTCTCAGATGCATAGCAAGTAATTGCGAAGACCATGGTCTGAATTAGACCCATCTTAGTTTCCAGACTGACATCATTGCTCTTTAGGACTTTGGAGAGGTCCTTTACAGCAGGTTTCCTGAGGGCAATTTCTCTTTTGATTTCCTAACTGCTAATCCCAAGAGTGTTGATTGTGGATCTGAACAAGCTGAAATTGTTAACAACCTCAATCTTTTCTCCATCTATCATGTGCTGCCAGTCATCCCAGTGGTGAGAACCTTGGTCTTCTGGACATTGAGCTTCAATCTTTATTAGACTACAGTCCTTGACCTTCTGCAGCAAG